GTATTATAACTTATGAAGCACTCAATCCAGTGTTTTAATAGAATATGGATAGACACATATCCATGGAACAGAATGGAATGTCCACTTGCTTTGTGCATGAACCTCAGCTCTGGCCATGTGAGCACACCCCCAACAGGGAAGGCTTGGGCTGGGGAGGGAGGCCAGAGAGCGAGAGCCTGTGAATGCAGCGTGGGTCTCCGCTGTGTGTTCTTGCTCCCCACCTGTCCCTGGGCTAGGTAGACGCCATCTCTTGGCTGGCTTCTTTCTGTATGTTTTAAGCATCTCACATCTTATTTCGGCTTCTAAGCCATCCTGTGACCTCTGGAAGGTCCTGCCAGGCAGCGTCAGCTTCTAGGGGGGATTTCCAAAGCAAGAGGCTACCGGCTCCCCCTGGAAAGTTCTGCTATCCCTTAAGATGTTGGTTTGTTTCAGAAAAGGCTCCCAGAGAAAATTACAAGGAACCAGCCCACATGGCAGAGCCCCAGGAGTCAGTCTTCAGGTGACCAGGTGGACTTTGCTTGCTAAAAATTCATTGTAATGCTAAATCCCTGCCATGTTTGAACATGCAGTGTATGAAGCCCAGGACCCCACACTGAGCATGCTCAGGAGCGCACCCTCCTTACATGGGGTGAGGGGTCTCACCCTGCTGCCCTGCGGAGACCCTGCTCTGGGGTCACCCTGGTGCTCCCTGTCCGTGCCTGGTAGGGAACCTCTCCCACGCCTGCTTGCTCCTGGTTGTACTTATTGGCTTTAGACTCACCAAGGCGTGACGGCTCTCAGGGGTTACAGAGGCACACTTGGAACTTGTCGCTGGTGTCAGGGTGCACGGAACCTTCGTTAGCTATGTCAAAACCAGAACGGTCTCTGATTCTTTAGAGGTACTTACTGGAGCAACTCAAGAGAGTTTTGAGGAAGCTAAGAAACGGCTGAGTGTGTGAAACTCAAACTTATCCTAGGAATAATATTCTCTTCCTAAAAAACAAAATAGGGAATGAGCCCTGCCGAAAAATTCCTCCTATTTACTTGTCCCCTATTGTCCCTCTCTGTGGTTGGGTTTCTTGGTTTTATCTTAAAAATCAAGCAACTTCCTATGGTTGGAATTAAACAGTAAAATGTAATTTAATGTTATGTCTCCAATGCCATGTTAAAATTCCATTGCAAGAATTCTAAGATCAGTTTATAATTCAAAGCTCTGTCTTGCTGGGTGTCAAGGTGCCCACCTGTCATTTCAGCTATGTGAGAGGTCGAGGCAGGAGGATTGCAAGTTTGAGGCCAGCCTGGGCAACTGAGCAAGACACTGTCTCAAAGTTTAAAAGAAAGGTTGGGCCTGTGGCTCAGTGATAGAGCTCTTGCCTAACAAGGGCAAGGCCTTGGGTTCCACCCCCAGAACTATAGAAAACAAACTAAAAAAGTATAAGCCTCTCTCTTCCTTTCCCCCTCCCATGCCTTTTTCTCTCAATCTTTTTTTTTTTTTGACCCTTCTCTATCTTTCCCTTCTCTTGCTTTCCTAAACAATTCAGTTCTAAAGCCATCAGATGGGGTGGGGCTAGAAAGGAGGCCAGGTGGGACAGTGGTGGTCCATCCTGGTGAGAAGGATGTCCAGGCTGGGGTGGCCACAGCTGGCCCTCAGAGCCATCCGTGGATTGATCACCTCCTGGGTGAAGTTCAGAACCAAGGGCAGGGGTGTAGCTCCGTGGTAGAGCGCTTGCCTAGCATGCACCAGGCCCCCGGGCTAGATCCTAGCACTGCACCCCCCAGAAAAAGGTTTTAAAAAAATCCAATTCTAAGTTATTGTAGAATTAAATACGAGAGGCAGAACAACAAAGCTTCTAGAAAATAATACACTAGAAAATTTTCTGTTCCTGGCGTGGGGAACATTTTCTTAAACAAGGCCATGAAAATCACTAATACACACAAGATTAAACACTGAAAATAAGACTTTTGTTCAAGCAAAAAACACTATTAAGAGAACAAAATGGAAATCAATACAGCAGAAGGAGGTACTTGCGGTGCACGAAACAAAAGCTCTCGTGAAAGAATACGTAAATAACTTCTCTACATCAATAAGAAAGGGACAGAGAACAAAAATAAAACAGGGCACAAGGTTTGAAGAAGTCCTTCAAAAGACAGCACATGGAAACCTCCTGTATAGAAAGTCTTAAATCGCATTAGTAATTAAGGAAAAGCAGATTAAACCCTCCAAGTCATCCCAGCACACATCCCCCAGCCTAGCTGAAACTAAGCAGTCTGCAGGACGAGGGGGTAATTCTCATACACTGGTTGTGGCGAATTGTTCAAACCCCATTGGGAAACAGTTTACTTTCTTACATATTAAAGTTAAAAAATCCTATGACCAAAAAATTCACTCTGAAAAGTTCCACCCATTATAAACACATCCTTATGTGCTGAAAGACACGGAGGAGTCTCTTCCACACGGCATTACTCATGCAACATATGTCCCCAATGAAGCAGTCATGACTAAACTATGTGAAGAACTCCCACAGAGCAAAAGGAAAGCGCCGTCAACAGAAGTGTGGAGATAAATCGCAGATAGTCACTTTATAAAAGAAGATGCCCGAATGGCCAGCCACCATTTGGAAAAGTACTGATGTCATTAATCATCAGAGAACCGCAAAACAAAACCCCATCCAATAACCCCACAGACGAACCTCTTACTCCTACGACATCAGCAGGATTTAGGGCAACTGGGACTCTCGGTGAGGCTGGTGGGAGTCAAGCATTGCAACACCATGTGGCTTTTCTGCTGAAGTCCCCATTGCACCTACCCTGTGGCTGGCGGTCCGAGGCTGCGGTGCATGCCTGCAGGACATGCTACATGGTCTCAAAGGACCTTCAGGGCACATCTGTAATGGGCCTCATGGGGAGCGATGAGGGTCACATGTGTGACATAGCCATTCAAGGCAGTAGACTACAGTGGCAAAGTCAATGAAACAGTGTCCCACATAGCCCTGCAGACCAGCCTCGCAAGCCTAAGCTGAAGGTGCCCAGAATGACCAGGCGCAGTGGATCATGCCTGAAATCCCCGTGACTCTGGAGGCCACCAAGGCAGGAGGATCTCGAGTTCAAAGCCAGCCTCAGCAACTTAGTGAGGTCCCATCTCATAATTAAAAATAAAATTTAAATTTAAAGTGCTGAGGATGTGGTTTGTTGGTAAAGCACCCCTGGGATCCACCTGCAGTCCAAAAACCAACCAATCAACCAACCAACCAACCAACAGAAATAAAAAAAACAAATTGAAAAAGAAAACACCCAGGACAAAGAAAATCTACTGTGTGGTTTTATTTGTATGTAATAAAAGAGACAGAAACGAGGGAGGCAGACTGAGATCCAAGTGAGACCGGACTTTAGCCAAGTTTTCCTCGTCCGTTCGGTTCCCTTAATTATTGTTTTAATTGTACAATTTTAGGGGGCACCTTATGATAATTTGATACATATACAATCGTCAAATCAGTGTAGTTAATATTTCCATTTCCTTAAATATTAAGATTTTTTTGTTAATGTGTAGCTGTTGTACATATTTGTGTTTGGGGTATCTCAGCGAGGACACAACATGCACTGATCAAATCCGGGTGGCAAGGTGTCCGTCTCTCACCGTCACTCCTGGTTGGCTGTGTGATGAAGCCTCTACCCCTGGACTTGTGTAAGTGCGTCAACCTGCCCCACACCAGGAAGCCCACAAACACTGAGAACTTCCAGCAGCTCGGGGCTGCCTCCCTCCCTGGCCCCTAACACACCTGCCTGAGAAAACTCCAGGGTGACCAATGACTTTACCCTTTGGTTGTGGCCACGCCTGACCATGGGAAGAGTCAGACTTTCTTAGTGCACTTACTAAGAAGGACTTAACACTGTGACTCCTCCCTCCCTGGGAGAGGTGCACACAGTCATTTGGGATCCAGAGGGCTGCTTCCTGGACCCCCTCGGATGCCAAAACCCACTAGATGATGTCAGCGTCTGGCATAGGATTTGCAGGCAACCCACCCAGCCCCTCCCAGAGCCTGAATTCACATCACCTCTGGATCACTTACAGCATATAATGCAATGTAAATGTTATGGAGTAATTGTTTCACAGAGCTGTTCAGGGAATAGGGACAAGAAAAATGTCTGTACACATTCAGTAGAGATGCAGGTTTTTTTTTTCTCCCCCAAATACTTCCGCCTGCATTTAGTTGAATCCTGGGATGCAGAGCTCAGGGGTACGAGGGCCAGCGGTCTGTCTTTCTCAAGGACCTGAGACGCTAATCATCAGGAGGTGTGGAGCCCTCCGCCCTCCAGCTGGCCAGCAGTGGGCTGGACTAGTCTCTCACCTGACCCACCCTTTCCAAATGTTCCCTTCCCTGCTGCTACTGAGTCCCCCTCTTTCCCTCCCTGACCCTCACCCGGCCCTTTCCAAGGCCCAGTCTCCTCTGTACAGATTCATGGGCAATAGTATTAAGATCTGTCTGTTCCACTTGTCTAGGGTCTGGCTTTGCTTATCTTTGACCTCCACAGCAGCGAGGGATAGAGAGGGTGGAGAGGACAGAGATGGGAAGTCACCTGGGGCCTTCTGGGGGCTAAAGTTCTATCCCTGACCTGGTGTTGGTTGTACCAGTGGCTAAAAAAAACAAAAACGAACAACAATGACAAAAACAACCTGTCCTTTTTTGATTTGCAAACATTTCTGTCGGTGTGTTACATTTTTAAGTTGTTTTAAAGCATTTAAAAACCAATAATAACTGGATCTGCTACTCACCGGAGGTTTGTATTCAACCCACAGCTTCCTAAAATAATGTGAAGGAAAAGTGCTGTTTGTTATTAGCTTTGGGATAAAAGCTGTAGATTTGGATGTTGCTGGTAGAATTCATTTTAGGAAGAACATATATTTTTGTGTATTATTAGCTTCCTGTGAAGCCACTTGTATTAGATTTTAAACTTTCAAGGTTGAATCTTTCTTTGTTGTTCATGCATTTGTGGTGGTTTCTGTCTTGTTCTTGTTGCTGCAGGACAGGGAGTGAGCCCAGGGTGCTCTAGCCCTGAGCTACATCCACAGTCCTTCTTTATTTTGAGACGGGGGTCTCTAAGTTGCCCAGGCTGGACTCGAACCTGTGAACCTCCTGCCTCAGCCTCTGGAGTAGCTGGGACTACAGGTATGTGCCACGCTGCCTGGATTTCTTTGCCTTTTTTGAAGTGTGTGTGTTGAGTAGTGGACATTCCTAGGGAGCAGCGCCTGGTAAACCTTGGCTTTGGGGGATAGGCATCCTAGTGTTGCTTTTTGATTTAAATTTTAACAAAAGCAAACACTTATCTGGTGCTTACTACGTGGTGTGTTTTCTCAGCACTTTGCATGTGTATTAACTCATTTATTCCTCAAAATAAGTCCTCACCGGTGAGTTTTCTCTTGAGGCACAGAGAGGTTAAGCTATTAGTCCAAGATCTCACAACCAATAAGTTGGAGCATCTGGAATCATGTGGTCTGACCTCAGAACTCATGCCCTTAACTGTATGCCATCCTGGTTGTACATTCACTCTTGTGATGGTAACTGAACATTTGACTGCATTTGGTAATAACAATGATGTTCTGTGGCCTTTAAAACCTATAGAGAATTAAACTGAGCATGAGATATTGAGCATGTAAATGGGCAGAGGAAGACCTATGCAGAATCAGAACCATCTGCGGCAGCCTGTCCAAGAAAAACAATCGATTATTTCTGGTAGCCAGCCCACCCATCGATCCTGCTGTCCCCGAGTCAGATTCATGGAAGTCAGACTGCTGTTACTAGTGACCAGTCCAGGAACCCAAACAGTATGGCCAGGGCTTGGTCTATAACAGACAGCTTCCCTGATTTTGGTTCCACCAAGCAGAGAAAGTGGAATGTGCTCCCTTCCATCGCAGGGATGCCTGCTCTGGGTCGCCCTCTTCCGCCTTCCCTGGACAAGCCCCCTCTCGGACCCCCGAGACACCCCTGCCTCTTTCTGAAGCTGCTGCCAGGCTGAGTTTGCAGCCCTGCAAAGGGCAGGAGGTGGTGGCCAGCTCCTTTGCCACAGCAGACTCCAAGTGAGCAGCTCTACGTGGGTGGTCTCTACGTGGGTGGGCTGTCTTTCTAGAAATGACGCCATTTCTGCAAGGAGCGGCCACCAGCAGCCTGAATGAAGTACCTGTGTGAGCCACTGGCCACACTGATCACACCTCCGTGGTCACACCTGACCAGAGCTGTCATCCATCTGCACCTGGTCTGCCCCGCGGTTTATCCAACACTGTAAAAACCAGCTCTAAGGGGTCCTGGGTACCACGTCCAAGGCTTCTGCCCTCGCCCACGCTCCTCCTGGTTTACCGTCTCTCTTCCCCAATTCTCTCTTCAGCTGCCGCCTCCAGATCCTCTCCCCTCTGTCTTCTGATGCTTTCCAAGCTCTCTCCAGTATCCAAGGCCAGGCCTGGTCCCCACCCCCAAACAATCAACTTGGGAAAGGTTTACCAAGGACAGCCTTGGGACTTCCTTCTGGGATGCAGTGTGCCTCCGGTCACTGGAGGGGCGGCCTGGTCAGGATGGCCCCGCAAGATGGCTTTCCCCGTTCATCTCGAGACTCCATGGCTTCCCGATGAGACGGAATGATGGATGGAGCCCTGGTATTTACCCATTAAGGCAATGAGGAGTAGGTCTAATTTGTGGGATCTCTAACTGATAGTTTGCATTTTAAGGTTAAGATAGTTTATTGCTTCCAGATGGTCAGCTAACTTGCAGCCAGAGGAGCCTTACTGCAGAGTTTAAGAATAGCTATGATGCAGAGAGAGATTTTAATTATCATGTAAAGGATCTAATTAAAAAGACATACAGAAGTCGGCTTTTCACATGCTCAAGCCTATAAAGATCGGTAGTTTAAAAAATTACCTTAAGGAGGAAATTGGAAAATTATTCAATTTGAAGCAGAGACACTTGAGGAATTTCTCAAATTCGGGACCTGGAAGGAGGCTGCCTGTTCGTACCCAGGCCCCGGATCCTCGCCTTGCTCCTTCTGCCTCTTCACGGCAGGGGCTGTGAAGACTCCTGAAACCCTTTTGTTCTTTATGAGTTTATTTCTGGAAAAAAGGAAGATTCTTTTCAGTCAGTTAATCTGACAGCAAGCCAGCAATTGACTGGTTTTTTTTTTTTGCCTTTGAACTGGACACCCCACGGGTTTGATCCTGACTCTTCCCGTTACTGGTGACCTTGGACAAGGTACAAGCCCTTTCAGCCTCAGTTTCCTGCTCTGTAAACGGAGGAGCCCCTCTGCTGGTTTCTGGGGCACCTCTGAGATGAGTTTTGCACCTGTGCCTAGTCATAGGTGAGGGCCAGACCCGACCGATGACAGGTGGGGACAGTTCTACATCAGCACTCTCTTCTCTGTGACATCCTCTCCCTGGCCCTGGGGCTCTGCAGCACAGGAGGGAGCATTTTGCAAAAGGAGCAGTTGTGTTTGTAGGAGGGAGGTGACAAAGTCCTGCTGGAGGCCAACGGGGCTCTTGGGGCTTAATGACTTGGAACCAGGAAGCTGCTGATGAGTGATACAGTGACCCTGAATCGACACCTTCTTCCCACCTCTCTGCAAGACAGACCTCCTGACTGTTCTCCTCATTTTCTCTGCTTGGCACCGTCAGAGAGGGCTGAGACGGAAAGCTGAAGCCAGGCCAGACAGCCCAGGGAGGAGACCCCACCTGCCGTCCCTCCTGGGTCTCACAGCGTCCCTCACCTCCCTGGCTGCTCTCCTTCCCCTTCCCATCCCAACTCGATCCTGGGATTGATTTAATTAGAATAAAATTGAGGTCTCCGAATATGTCAATCCTCTTTCCGGAGCTATTGTCTCCACAGCCCCGTCTCCTCTGTAGCTCGGCAGAGTACAACGAGCTTGGCCAGATGCTCTGCAAGAGGACACACGTCCTTCTGCTGCTCGGAGCTGGGGACCCTCGCGTGTCTGGCACCAAAGCCACGCTCCGTGATGCATATGCACCAGCCTGTCTGCTGCCCCACAACCCGGGGTGTCTTTAGACTTCTGTGTCCACCTTTGATGGTTGTACCTGTTTTTTGATGGAGGGGGTAGAGGAGACTGGCAGTGGGTGGGGATGATGAAGGAATGAGGCAAGGATTCTCCTTGAAGACCCGTGGGTATCTGGACAGACACTCCATTTCCACACTCAGTAAGACTTAAAAGGCGGGACGCTGGCCCCGGTCAAGGGATGTTTAATTCATTACCTGCGTGACTATTGTAGCCTTATCTAGTCCTGGTGGGAGTCCCAGGTGGCTAATAACTTCCCAAAGTATCCTTTGCTTTCTTCTCTTCTTCCCTTTCTACCTTCCTGCCATGTTCAGAAGTCAGATTTAAAAGAATGGGAAGAAGATTTCCAAACCGGAACTCTTTGCTCTTGGGAACAAAGCAGAGAGACAGAACTAAGCGCAGCCAATGCTAGCCCCGTCCACGAGCCTCTCCTGCCCACGTGGACCAGTGGGCTCTGGTCACTAGGATCACGGGCTCTGCTGGGGGACAGGTCCAGTCACTCCTCCTACAGGCCACTGCAACGGAAGGCGGCTCTCCTGTGGAGATGCAGAAAGGGCTCCCACGACTCGGCACATCACCCTTCACTCAGAATCAGGAGAGAAGCGCTAACAGGCCTTTCCTGAAAGGAGATCTACGAATGAACTTCAAACACGGGGAAATGTCTGTGACCATTCGTCACCAGGGAAAATGCAAATTAAAGCCACAAAGAGATACCATCCCATACCCACGAAAACAGCTGAGATGGAACTGGCTGGTGGCAGCAGGCACTGGTGAGGAGCTGGGCAGCTTCTCATGACACTGCACATGTGGGCTTCCAGCAATCCCATGCCTGTCACTACTCATGGGACTGACACATGTGCACACAGAGGCTGTGGGGACCGTCCACGGCATTTTTAATTACACTGGCAAAAGCGAAGCTTACATGTGTCCATCAGTATGGACTAGAGAAAGAAACTGGAATGTCCTCCTATAGTGGAGACAGGGTGTGAGTATTTTTTAGCATGAGAAAAAGAAAAAAATATCGATTCATGCTGCGATTTGAATGAGGCTTAGGCAAATCATTGAAATTGAAAGAAACCAGGTAAGAAAAACTACTTATTTGTATAATTCTGTTTCTATAGAAAACAAATCAGTTTTTCTTAGGATTGGAATTTTGGGAGAGACTGATGACAGAAGGTCACAAGGGAACTTTTTGGGGTGATATGAATGTTCTCTACTTTGAGAGTGGCAGTTGTTACCTTGATGTTTCAGGGACACATATGTGTTAGTCAGTTTTCTGTTGCTATTTCAGAATGCCTGAGACAATCAGCTTAATAAGAGAAAAGGTTTATTTCAGATCATGGTTTCAGAGGCTTCAGTCCCATGATCTCTGGGCCCTGTTGCTTCACCCCTGTGGCAACATAGTAGCTCACGGCAGAGTGTGTGCAGGAGAAGTCCTGTTCACCTCCTGGCAGCCAGGAAGCAGAGAGAGATGCAAACGGGCTGGGTCCCAACATCCCCTCCAAGAGCACACCCAAACCCAATGTACCATCCAACTTCCTCCTGCCAGGCCCCACTCTCACAAGCTCCACCATCTCCCAAAAGCACCACAGGCTGCCTCTGGGGGAATGCATCAGCTCCAAACTATAGCAGCGCATGTTGGTGAAACATCATTGAAATACACTCTTAGGATAGGTGCACCTTATGTTACATAAATTACACCTTGATGAAGCTGAATTTGGAAAACAGTAGGAAAGCACAACCCCGTCCGGGCCAATACATCAGTCACAGACTTTCTGAAGATGTCGCGTAGGCTAGGGAGTTACTTGTGGAGACGTGACCCAAACTCTTGGCAGGAGGGCAAATCAGAAGCCTTGGTGTTTGCTCAGGAAGACTTTGGTGGCTGTTCAGGAGAACAGGATGGAGTTTGTACCCCGTGAAGTCCCTCGACCACCCACCACTGTGGTGTGGATGGTGAAGACGGAGGGACGGCGAGTGGTTCAGTGGTTCTATATAAAATTGCATTTATTATGCTCAGTGTAAAACCGAGTTACTTGAAAGTGGCGGATAATAATGGAAAATCAGAGGCTTCTGAACTCAGAAAATGTCAGCTGGCATGCTTTTGTGGGCCTGCACTGAAACGTGAATATCCTAAGCTTAGTGTTGCTATTACGGCTCTGGAAGGCACAGGGCAGGTGTTTTGATGTTGGTTTTATGACTGGCTATAAAGAAATTCTCCTATATATGCTCGTGTGTATTGGGCACAAAGAGGCTTTCTCTTCCTATCGAATTCAAGTATCTCTTTTATTTCTCTTTATAGGAATAAATTTCTGAATACACAATGGAAGATACAAACCAGATTCCTGTGGACCTGCTCACATTTCAGGCTGAAGAACAGACATGAGGGCCACTGTGGGCCATGCCTCCTGACCCATCCAGACCAGAGACCTCGAGCTGATTTCCTCAGTTCATGAACTCCCCCCTCTCCAGCCAGTGCTTGTTGGGAGGGTCTCCCACCAACACGGAGAGCAGATGTGTACTCTGTGTGTCTCACAGTCCTTGGAGTTGCAGGATGGTGAGCAGATCACTAGGTCAACGTGGCTGTTGAGGGGAGCATCCTCAAACGCAGAGGGCATGTCCATAGGATGCAGGCTTTAGGGAGCTGGGGGAGATTTTGCACACACACACACACACACACACACACACACAAACTCACACACACATGCAGACTCACACACAGGCAAGCACATGGTACGTACCTCATGGACATGCAAAGGGCCCATCTGGTGAGGAATCACGGGCCCTCGTTGTCCCCGTCACAGTCTCCATGAATGAGCCATCTGCGAATTCCTCGACCTACCTAGGGCTGGAAAGGAAATGAGGAAAGCCTGCGTCCTGGCCTGGGATGAAGAGGATGGGATCCTGTCTCCCTCATTTCACCACAGGGAAAGCCATCTTCTGAGTACGAAGCAGAAAAGAGCACTTGAGTATAATTTATTTATTCGCCTAATTTGCTAATGTGCATGGATGAGCTTATTGATCGCTCTGGCGCAGAAACGGTGGCCTCCCCTGCCCGGGGTGCACAAGGAGCTTGGATCTGGCCACGTCTTCCTGGACGTCCCCTCTTTGTTCTGCTGCCCCTCTTTCCTTTTGTGCCGTAAGATACCTTCAACCTTCTTGTTGAGAGATCAATAAGAAGAGATGTCATTTGTGAATTTCGTAATGACATCCTGAAAGTGGTTGAATAATACAGCAGTCTGTGATGGGAGAGAGGAGGGGAGGCTTCTTGTCCTGCTCTCTGATCTCAGTCCAAACCAGGGTGGTGTCTGTTGTCATTTTCATCCAAGAAGCTGTGTGTCAGGCTCTGTCCCCTGCTTTCTTCAAAGAACCCCTCTCCCCCTGCATAGATGCCTGATGTCTCCTAGCATCCATCCATACCCAGGATCACCCCACCCCTGGCCTGGAGCAGCCTGGCCCTGAGCTGGGTCCCTGGAGGCCGGGATGCAGAGAGATCAGATGTAATAATGCCAGGACTCAGCGTCAGGTGAGACGGCATGGGGTGGGGGTGGGGCGAATGCCACTCGGACTCCATGGCCAGGTTCAAGGCCCCTCCTTTCATCCTGGTTCTCTTCCAGGTCCCTTGTCCCCTGGCTCAGTCCTCCACCTGGGCGCCGCTTGAGAAGTGCTATCTTTTTTCTAGTCGGTACCCTGTCCCAGGAAAACAGTTAGACCCCTGTACCCCAACCTGTGGGCCCCTCTATGACCTAAAGACAGAGCCACCTCTGTGTATCTCCTGCTCCTGGGTGATCTGCCACTCATCACCTGTTACTGGTCCTTGGAGACTAGGGTCCCCCTGCCTGCCAGGGCCTCCTCCATCACCTGCCAGGTGCTCCCACCCACCTCCCCCAGCACTCTGTGGACATGCCCCCTGAGTGGTCCCAGCCCCTCCTGCACCCCGCAGGCCACTCCATCCTCTGCCCTCTCCCTGGGAGTGGAGCTCCTGTGCATGGTGGAGATCAAAAGTGGCCACTGGCAAGGCCCTCTTCAGGTTGCTCTAGGACTCATTGGCCAAAGTGTGGTGCCCACACCCCTGATGGAATCAGGTGCTTTGGGGAGGGACACTGAAGCACTTAATTTGCACAGTGACCACATATAGTCTACCTCGGCTCAGAGTCTATGGACCCCAGACAGACTGAAAACCTGACATGAGGGCCACTGTGGCTCCTCTGCTCATCAGCTGTGGAACCTCAGCAAGTTACTGATCATGTCTGTGTCTCATTTGTTACATGGGCATGATAATAATGGCCCCTACCTCATAAGATGCCTATGTGGACCAAAATGAGCGAATGCATGTGAAACGGTAAGTTGAAACGTTAATGTTAAGAGCACGCAGGGATTGCACCTCATGAAAGTTGTTGATTATTTTGTAAATATTAGTATTTAAATTTTAGCTAATTAAAAAGAGAAGTGAGTTTGTTTAAAAAATATGTAAATGATAATACAGTTGATACTTAAACATTGAGAGGTGAGTACACCCAACTGGGAAGGCTGAGCTGCTGCAACAGATCTCCCAGATTCAGTGGTATCCAGTACTTGAGTATTTTCTTGATGGAGGATAGGTACCTCAGGTTAGCAGGTAATTTTCCTGCATGTGGTGTTTCTGGGCCCCAGGGTCCCTGTGTCTCATTGTCATCATGTGCATAGCAATGCCCAGGTTGATGCCTTCAGGTTCTAGTGCACGGAGAGGGGCAAGGAACAGCACGAAGAGGCCCCGGGAGCTCTGACGGTCCCTCCCCCAGAGGCGGTACTTGCTCTCCAGCTCATATTTGAGCAAAACTTATCGCAGAACTCACACCTGGCTGCAAGGGAGCCTGGGAAAGGAGTCTATCAGGTCTCAGGCTTTGATGGCAGCTAACTGACTTGGAAGGTAAGTGACCGGTGTTTGGGAAATACTGCTTTTGGGGTGGGTGGTAGGATTCTTCTTGGGCCCTGGGTCAGGAAGTAAAATGGCAGTTAGGAACTCCCCATGACAGGGAAGGGCCAAGGAATTTTGGGTTCACCTCACACTGGGTTTTACCTTACCCCACTCTCCACTGAGATTCCCGCTCTCTGTTCTCTTATGCAAAATCGGCTACAAAGTGTCGTGCTTTGGCATCACCTGGGACATTGCAGGATGGGATTAGGCAGAATTATACCCCCACCTACAACCCCACCAAAGATGTCCTCACCCTAATCCTCAGAACCTATGGACAGATCCTCTTACGTGAACAAAGGGACTTTACAGATGTGATTAAAATTAAAGACCTTAAGATGGGAAATCGGTCTATATTTTCCAGGTGGGCCCAGTCTACTCCTGAGAGTTCTTATAAGTGGACGATCTTTTCAGACTACGGCTGGAGAACCAGAAAGATGGCAGCATGAGAAGAACTCAGCCTAACGCTGCTGGCTTCGGAGACCAAGGAAGCGCCATGATCCAAGCAAACTGGGAAGCTCTAAAAACTGATGGTGAAATTTAATCCTGGCTGAAAACAGGCATTAAGATACGGGATCAGGTGCAGGGATTGCACATTAAAGGTGATTAGGGCAGGAGTGCTTTTCCTCCTGAAGGATTAAGCCATTTGCAGGTTAAGGGATTAGTGGGCTATCTTAAGAGTGGGTTTGTCATAAAAGTCAGTTTGACTCTGTCTCTTGGATGTGACCCTCTTGCTATGTGGCACCCTTTACTACCTTTGAGGTCTGAGAGGGTCTCCAGCAAGGAAGAGCCCAAGATGTGCCCCTCCATGGAAGGACTCCCAGCCTCAGAGGCATGAGCTGCACAGTCCTCGACTCCTTGCAAGCCACCTGGCCACTCCGCCACAGCCACAGAAACAGACCAGCCCAGACCCAGAGGACCCCCAGAAGGGCATGTGGCCCTGTCAGTGCTTTGATCTTAACCCAGAGAGGTCCATGCCAGACTTCTGTCCTCCAGAACTGTAAGATAGGAAAGCTGTGCTGTTTTAGGACACCAGGTGGCCAGGGATTTTTCACAATAGCAATTGAAAAAAATCACATGAGAACCCATATCCCTGGTTGAGAAGAAATGTTAAAAAAGAAGGATGGAGACACCAAAAACCATTGACGGTAACCAGAGGTGAGGGGACATGGGTGACAACCAAGGAGGCTGAGGGTCTGGGGACAGTCCATTTACTTGTCCTTGGCCATGAAGTAAGCTAATGCTGGCCAAGGCACAACCCCAAGGATTTCCATTCATCCCTGAAAGTCACCTACACTGTGGGGACCCCAGAAGCCCTGCTCATTCCCATAGTCCTGGCAGAGAGCTCGGGCTGTTCAAGTGAACTGTCACTGGGCCTTTTCTCCAATCAAGCTTCCCATTCAGCAAAACAACCCAAGAAGCTGTGGTTGCAAAGGCCACCCTCCAGAGGCTCCGTGACACCCCCAGGTAGCCAGTCTTGAACCCAAGCCACCAACCTTTACACAGAAGTCGTTCCAGCAAATATAAAATGAGGAAAGCAACATGGGGCTCATGAACTCACATCCGCATGGCAGGTTGTGGGCAAATGAAACTCCATCCAAAACACCCAGAGATGGGTTCTAGACTTCAGAGAGAGGATGGAATCAGGGCCTAATAAATGCCTCGAGCTCACCCCCACCTCCCCGAGTACCCATCCTTTTTCTGGCCAGCTGGGAGCACGACTTGATGGGCAGGACCAGGACTGGTTGGGCAGGGCAGTTCCGGTGTGGGACTGAGTGTGGAAGCCTTCTGGAGCCTTCTGGCCCTTTCACAAATCATGCCTCCCTGAGCCCCTGGTTGTCCCCTGCCTTTGCCAGCTGCCTGGTCCACTGGGGCCTGAGTCCTCTGAGCAGTGTCAGTCTCACGTAGTGGTGGTGATGTTGTGCAGGGAAAGCTCACCCCTGCCTCTCCTCCATGTACCCAAAGCCAGCTCAGCCCCCATCCCTGCTCTTCCCCAGGAGCAAGTGACAGTGACCAGGTGCTGCAGGCCTTGGGAGGCTCCTCCTGCTCGCTGATGGCTCATTTTCACTTACAGCATACAAAGACAGTCTCAGGGTTCTACAAACGTTTACTAAATCAAGAAAAGATGCACACATCAATGAGAGGCTTCAGCTGAGCTACATTTCAGGAGAGCGTTGCAGGCCAGGCAGCACCCGGGGTGTCATCTGGGGGCTGTAAGTGAAAAGATGGGCACAGAGACAGAAGGAGAGAGAGGGCATGTGCTAGGGCAGACGGCTCGACTGGTTCCCCAAGGGCCGTGACTCTGTGCATAAGCAAGACAAGGTGGGACAGGCCCAGCTCACCATCCCCAGGGGTAGGTCACATTGTTTCTCCCAACAAGAATGTAATAACTTTGGTGTTGTGCTTTATTTGCTATTTCCCTCTCCTCCTAGACAATAAGCTCCAAGTGTGCAGAGAATATCTGTCTCTGTGCTCTGCACAGAATGGTACACTGCAAGCACTCAATAAATGTTTAATGACTAAGTCATTGAATAGACACTTCACGGATTGGCAGATCAATCTGTGGATGATCTGTTGATTAAAAAGGTGCCCAGATTAAGAACTCTTTTGATGGGGCTTCCATGGAGGAGCTGGTGGCTGAACTGGAACTTTAGACTCTTGAGTTTTAGAGGTGATCCAACAGCAGAGAGAAGCCTTGGGTCAAGTTCAGCCCCAGGGCTGGTGTGCACTTGGCAGGCAGAGAGCTGCTGATTGCTTTTTCAGGGTGGACTGTTGGGAAAAGATGTGGAACAGTGTGCTTTCGTGTACATATTTATTTAGGACTTGTGTACACGTGGGACTGTGGGTATGAATTGTGTCTATTAGATCACAGAGGTTCTGTGTCTGCTGCCTGCTTTCCAGTGGGTGCTGTGTGCCCACCCTCTGATGAGCTGCTGGTGAGCCTGGGGCAAGAGGTGTGGCCTGGATGGGGGACCTGGTGCTGATGCCTGTTTCCCCCAATGCCTAGGCTTCCTCAGGGATGGTGATTTTAACGGCAATAGCAATGCCCAATATTTATTGAGTACTGAGAGGCTGAAATACAAACAATGGCCAGACCAAAGACAATAGGACCTCACTTTCCAACCCTGCATCAATCCGCCCAGAAAGCCAATCCGTAACCTCCCAGCATTCTGTTGTAACAGCCAGGCCCTGCCATGAGCTTCTGGATGCCCTGCTTCCTCCCCAGGATCGACCAAAGCAAGCCTAACCAACTCCCCCAACTAGTCACACGGTTAACCTTTCTGGTTAGCCTACCTCTGGCTTCCCCAGGCCATCAGCCTCCAATCAGAGCACACGCGAAACCCTCTGTTTTTCCACGATAAATGCTCCCTCCCCTCTGTGTGCCCTTGAGCTTCTGTCCAGCACAAATGATGGTGAACCACCCCCTTGCAATACCAAGCCCTGAATAAACAGCCTGTGTTTGTTCCCATTTGAGTGGCCTTGGTTTGTTTCTGTGGTGCTTACTGTATGCCCAGCACTGAGCTAGGTGATGTGCACATATTTGCCTGTTTATCCTTGTCATTCAGGAGATAGCTTTATGTATGAGTGTTATTGATGTTTACCCAGAGAAGTTAGGTAATTTGCCCACAATCACACAGGACTTCACTGGTGAGAAGCATACACAATGCCTTGCAGAGACCATGAGCACACAATTTGTCTCCCCTCTTAGCTCCCCCCACCACCATTACCTGAAGTGGGGAAGTGGATTTGTGCCTTTTTACTGTCTTTAAAATAACTCCTCTACCACAGAACTCAGGGTTCCATGAGAGACCTTGTCCCCTGCTTCTGGCAGAAGTAAGTGGACTGTTGAAACCTCTGAAAGGCAATGAACTCCAGTTTTTCTTGGTGAACTTGCAAGTCTTTTGGCCCCTCTGGTAGACTAGTGTGAGGTGCAAGAAGTTTTTAACAAACCAACAGTGAGCAGAGTGAACCGTAGTTGAAGAGTAAAGATGTGTTTGGAATCAAATCCCTCCGTGACTCTGGACAGGTACAGTGAGTTCCTTTCCAGCTTGCTAGAGCAGAAGGCAAGCAAGCCAACAAACCAGTCTCTTCAAAGAGCGTTTGTCGTTCCACCATGTTTTATGACTGGGGAAAAAATTCTGGAGGCATCCAAGATAAAATTCTAACTTTAAAGTCAAAAACTGATCTGCTCCTTGGTGACAGAGATGGGGGCAGACCCAGACCTCTGGGTGAGCAGGTCACAGAGCCCTGAGTTCTTTCTCTAGCTGGACTGGAGCAAATCACATGCAGACAGATGGCGCTACAGCTTGAGGCAGGTCACCCAGCCTTTTGGGAGCCTCAAGGTCAGGATGGTGCAGACTCTAAACCTGTCTGTGATCTGCGAGGATGTCAGGTAAGTGGCTCCGTGTGCTCCTGCCAGGTCTGGGGAGTCAGTCACTCAGCTGGAAGAACCTATTACATTCAGCTCCTTCCTACCAATCTGACCTCCATCCACACCCTGAGTCCTCCACCAGGATCTGAGTCCTCCACCAGGATCTGAAGGCAACCTGATAGTTCCATCAGCCTTGGGTACCTTGTTCCACTGTTTTCAGAAGCAGCTGGCATATGAAAAATATTTAACTGATTATGTTCTTGTATAAACCACTCTCCCTGATCCTCAGATCCAACTAAAGGCAGATCAAAAATTTTATTTAAAAAATTGCATCCTTTCTGAACAGGCGCTGACTTCTTTCTTGTTATTCCCTACACAATATTTCCATAGCGTTTACATTGCATTGGGTATAAATGACCTATGCAAATGCTACATTTCACCTAAGGGACTTGAGCCTCTGAGAGTTTTGTTGTGTATGTGTGTGTCTAAGAAGAAGCACCCACAGATACATACATAGGTGTGGGTGTTCTTTAATTTTTAGGGTCATAGACCACATTGAGAATCTAATGAAAGTTATAGGTTCCCCCCACCCCCAGAAAAATTCCCAGATAGCCACACACATAATTTTTGGTATCTTATTGAGAAGTCCTCACACATTTCTGAAGTCTTCCCGGGCACTTCTGGGGACACAAACTGGACACGGAATTTGCCTTTGAGCAGAATGAAGAGCCCAGCTAAAGTTAGACACCGCCTATGGGTAATGTCCTCAAGCTCTGGTGTGCTCTGGGTTTCCCTGAGTGCCCTGGGTTTCCCTGGGTGCCTCAGTTGGAGAGAAGGGTGATTGAGCCCTCGGTATTGCCTGGCAGGGCGTGGCAGGGCAGGTGGGAGCACGTGTATATACGCATGTGTGAGGAGGTCGGTCGCTATTAGAAGTGTGCTTGAAATAAATGAGTGACCATGAACTCCAAGAGGGTAGAGGAGGAACTGAGAGCTGGTGGGAAGCTCTACACTGTGCAGGAAGAGAGGCGGCACCCGGAGAAGGTGCTTGGTTGGAGTTGAGCATGGAAGAGGTGAAAGACAAGAGTGGCTGCCTGAGCTCCGGGTGGGACTCTGGAGCTGTGGCAGGAGCTGGCCCTGAAGGCGGAGCTCAGGGTGTAAGCGCTACAGGCTCCTGGAGCCTAGTGTTAAAATCAGGGAGAGAAGCCAGCTCTCCCAAGTTGGTCTTGCCTGGATCCCTCTCATCTCCATCTCTGAAGTCTGTTTCCTCCACTTTCCTTTTTGTCTTTCCCATCTCCAAATATGCACAAGCTCGGGAGTCAGACTCCCGGGTACCGAGCCCACCATCTCAGCCTTCCCAGCTCAGCCTGAGTGAGGCTTCCAAACTGACTTTCAGATGTGTGTGTTGAAGGTGCTGGTGTTGGCACTCAGAAGGTGACACCCCAAAGTATGGCAATGTTTGCTGCTAAGTACTTCAACCAAGGAGATCAGATGGCTCAGAAGTAGCCTTCAAAGCAAAGTCTCTGTCCTGCTTTGTCTAGATGTGGGTCTCCCACTATCTTTCTCCCCGAAAGTGAGTCATAGCCACCAGAATTCCTCTTCCCCCGAGGTGGGTCATAGAAACTAGACCCCCCCACACCCCAAACCAGCCATGAAACCTATGGAGTTCCTCTCTCCCTTCTTTGTTAAAGATGCTCATTCCAGAGGGGTCCTGCCCTAGCGGCACTGAGAAGACAGCAGAAGGTGGATACAGGGGTCCGGCAGGGTTGTCCCTTGGTCTATCATCTGCAGATCAGATCGTTTTCTCCAGTCACCTTTCTGCACAGCTGTCCAGACTTCATTGGATCTAAACATAAAATAAAGCTGTCCCCAGGTCTGTGGGCCCTCCTATCTGAAGGCTTCAGTGCCACCCGAAACTGTGATGAAACAATGTGTCATGCTTTGCTCTTCTTAACCTGTTATTATAGGAGTGTGGGCTGTGCCCCTTGTGATGGGTGAGGAGCGCTGTGCACCTTTCCGCCCCTGTGACAGCTTCCATCTGTAGTGGTTATAATGACACCTGACTCAACTGGGTATTCAGTGGGATAATCTGAGGACCTCATCTGCCTCTGTGCCTGTCATGCCAGAACTGCTTGGTAGCCCAGATTTCTTCCCCCACTTCCCTCCTACCCAACATGTGTGGTAAAAAGTGTCTTTCATGGGGCTTTTCATTTAACTACTTTGTTTCCACTTTCTTTTAGTTTATACCAAGCAAACACCATGAGGAGTCTATTGGATGGAGTTCCAAGAGAATGAAATAAAAAGAGGGTTAGGTTTTTAAATGTACTTTTCTATGTTAAAAATCAATATTTGAAATAACAAGCAAAACAACACCGGTTCGCTTAGACAAACACCAAACAGGAATAGAAATCCAATGAGATGGAAATGATGAGGCTGCTGGTGGAAACCACCAAGTTCATTTGGTTTTACTGTCTAATTTTTATTAGTTGGCAGCCTGGTTTCTTTTTCAGGCCTAAGGAATTAAGTGGATCAACGAGGGGGTTTGGATTTCAGTATTTGGAGCTCCTGGTTTTGGAAGGAGGAAGAGGTCATGGAAATCCAGTAGCCAAAGAAACACGCTTCTTGTAATAAAATGCCAACCGAGGTGCGGTGGTCACAGAAACGGTGACAGGGACGGTCAGAATTCTCTCCCGGAGAGAACCTCCCCGGCCCGCTAACGCCGGGCCTGGCTCCGAAAGTCACAGAATCCGTGTCTCCAGGCCAGATTTTCCCTCTAGCCATTCCTGGCCACGCAAAGCGGAGCTGCGAGCACACAGAAAGGGATGTCTTCATCGCCAGCCGGGATGGAACGAACCCGCCCGCTTGGGGAGAGCTGAGAACCAGGGTCCCTCCGGCGCCGGCCGCAGCCAGCATGACTTGACCGCCCCCATC